AAAATTATTACTTAGAAAAACGACGAAATAACAATTAAAAGGAAAGCAGAGTACATACTGTGGCAAAGTAGTCGTGCTTAGCCACACTTATGCGTGGTACAGTAAGTTTAAGAAAAACTCAGTCAATTAGTCAGTCAACTCAACTTTTTCTACTGCAACTTTTTGGTATCTACATCAAAGTTTTTAAAACCGGATCGGTCATTAAACCGTTTTCAGGTTCGGTTTTTGGTTTGATCGGTTCAATCGGTTGAATCAGTGAACCGATCGGTCCAAACAACAAGGAAAATTTGATGAGAGGAGCAAGCTGCAGGCATGGATTTTCTAATTTGGTGTTGATAATTTTGTAATTTTGTTCAAATTAAAGGTTAAAATGGGTATAAGAAAGGAATGGGAAGGGTGAAATTGGAAAAAATTGAAAGAAGATTGCATGAGAAATTGAACCGGTGGTTTTTCTGGTTCTATCGGTTTTCATCGGTTTTTATCAATTTTGACCGATTTTTGACCAATTTTGACCGATTTTTGACCTCAAACGGTTTTTTATGTAAATCGAGTCGTTTTCATCACCGATACCGGTCCGACCGATCCGGTCCAATTTTAAGAACCTTGATCTACATAAGTTTAAATTTGTTAGAATTTTTGAGGTAAGAAGGATGGATTGAGAGAGGACTTGGAGGAGTGTAGGAAGAGAGTAGTAGAGTGGAAACATAAATCTTAGATAGTCATGAAAGGGTGCAGACATTCGCCCGATTGGGAGAAGAGGAGAAGTTCTCTAAATCTCATTTCAATTTTCAGTAACATTTAAGAAAAAAATTGTTATATATAAATTAATATAAGAAAGTACATTGAAATTACTACACTTCTGGTGACTCATTTGCATTTCATTTGCATGGCAATTTCATTTCGTTTTCTTCGATAATGCAGTAGTTTGTGTTAGGAATTTTGAGCACTACAGTCCCATACAAATGGAAGCGATAAAGAAATTGAAATAACAATTTAACATGATTCGACTTGTACACTTCTCAACAAATTTACGTCCACGAGAAAGAAAGAAATAAATCAACTATTAATAAAAAGAATACAATAATTTAGAAGCTCTGTCATTCAAGAAGCTCTAGCTTCAATATATAAAAACTTTCAAATTCTTCCTAATATTCTCTCTTAATCTATACAAGAATTATCTCACAATTTCTCTCTCTTTTTTTTCTCACAAGAGCCCTCACTCTCTTAGCTCTTCTCAAGCTTGCTCTCACTCTTGCTTACCCATTGCCTTTGCATGCATGGGTATTTATAGTGAAAAATCCCAACCACCCATGCACCATTTTTCTTTGCCTCATTACCACCTGTGCATGATTTTCTTTGCTCATTAAATGGGTCAACATGCAATCTTGCATGGTTTCAACAAAGCAATTCTAACCCACAATTGGCTTATAGATCAGTGAAGAAAACTTCCACATAGAAAGTCCATAGGTTCAGCTTATAGATCGGTGAAGAAAACTTCCACATAGAAAGTCCATAGGTTCACACATGGGGTTGGACTTTCTACCAACAATCTCCCCTTCCAACCCCATGGGAGGAGAAACCAACCATGACTCCATACACTTCAACATGGCATCTTATTTTTGAGTTCCTCTCCTAGTACAGGATAGGACCAACCTACACTAGGTGTATTGCTAAAATTAATTTTGGACCAAAATATGATCCGAGGGAAAATCACACCTCCTCGAACCATCATCAAACACCACTTCATTGTTGAAGCTCGTCCTCTTCTTGGTCTTATTAATTTCCTTGTCATCTACCAAGATCCCTTTGGGCTTCCACACCATCTTCCTCATGGTCTTGTTAAGCCCTCTCTCGGGATGTTGCTTAAGCACATAGATGTTGTGCTTGTTCTTCCTTCCACGCAAGACTAATCTTCCACCTTTGTAGACCTTGCACCATTCTTGCTTTCTGACAGACTTGTACCCTCGTGTTGTCAACTCACTCAAAGCAATGATATTGTTTGAACACTCGGGCACGTATCTCACATTCTTGAGAATCTTCGCTCTCCCAATGTGAACATTGAGACGAACATCTCCTATGCCTTCAATATTCACCTTCTCATTGGTAGCCACCGTTATTTTGCCAAGCTCCCCCCGAACCAAACTCACAAATTCAGAAGGATTATTGCACACATGCATGGTTGCAACAAAGTCCAAAATCCACCATTGATTATCTTGCTCTACCTCAAGATCACACTCTTCACAAGCTAATACTTCAATCACATTTTCTTCAACAATATTAGCCTCCCCCTTGCCCTTGGTTTTTTGACTTTTCATCAATATTTTCATATTAGAAAAGTCCTCCTTAAACTTTGGGCATTTATACTGTTTATGACTAAACTCACCACAATAGAAAATTGCACTTCACCGTAATCCTTCTTAGGTATGGATTTTGACCTTTCTCAATTTACTCCACCTCCACATCCATTGGATCTTCCCCGAGAGTGCTCCATCACCAAAGCATTAGTTTGATTGGCACCATCATCCTCCCCAAGAAACTTATCATTCTTCAACAACATGGTTGTGACATCTTTCATCATCAAAGTAGTCTTACCCACTAGCATGCTCTGCACTAGGGACTTGTAGGACTTCGGCAAGGACGCAAGTAAAAGCAAAGCTTTCTCCTCTTCTTCTAAAATATCCCTGGCATTCACTACTTATGTCATCGTCATGTTGAAATCGGACAAGTGCTTGTGAATATTAGTGCCTTCTGTCATCTTCAATTGATATAGCTCCATCTTGAAACACAATTGATTGGTTAAAGATTTTGAAACATATATCTCTTCAAGCTTCCTCCACATGCCTATTGAAGTAGTCTTTGAAAGTATGTTGTATTTCACCTCCGGTGCAAGTGCCAGCCAAATTTGACTTGCTGCCTTCTTTTGGATGGTGCTGCAATCACTCTCCTTCATGTCAGCCGGTTTGGTTTCTTCTAAAGCTGCATTAAGTCCTTGACAAATAAGGATATCCTTCACAGTGCTTTGCCATAGAGCAAAGTCATTCTTACCATCAAACAACTCAATTGAATACTTCATGGCTTCAGTTTGCATTTCACCACAACACCTGGAGCTCTACCAATAGCTCTGATACCATTTGTTGAGAATTTTGAGCACCACAATCCCACACAAATGGAAGCGATAAAAAAATTGAGACAACAATTTAATGTAGTTCGATTTGTCTACCTCTCAACAAGTCTACGTTCACGGGAAAATGAGAAATAAATCCACTATTAAAAAAAAGAGTACAATAATTTAGATGCTCTCTCACTCAAGAAGCTCTAGCTTCAATATATAAAAACTCTCAAATTCTCCCTAATACTCTCTCTTAATCTACACAAAAATTATCTCACAATTTCTCTCTTTCTTTTTTTTTTTTTTTCTCACAAGAGCCCTCACTCTCTTAGCTCTTTTCAAGCTTGCTCTCACTCTTGCTTACCCATTGCCTTTGCATGCATGGGTATTTATAGTGAAAAATCCCAATCACTCATGCACCACTTTTCTTCGCTTCATTACCACCCGTGCCTGATTTTCTTTGCTCATTAAATGGGTCAACATGTAATCTTGCATGATTTCAACAAAGCAATTGTAGCCCACAATTGACTTATAGGCTGGTGAAGAAAACTTCCACATGGAAAGTCCACAGGTTCACACATTGGGTTGGACTTTCTACCAATAGTTTGCTTCACTTTTCTTTCTTCCATTAAAGCAGCTTTGTTGCTGCACATTTTGTGACATTTTATTAGATCTACTTAATCAATTTCTCCTAATCAAATCGCCTTTCAACGACCCTATCTGTATCTGTGAACCCCTCCCTCCAAAAATGGCTGATGCTATACTTTTCTTATTCCTAGACCAGGTAAAAACAATCATCGACAAGGCAAAGAAAGAGGTGAAGCTGCTTGTTGGTGTCGAGGAAGAAGTGGAAAAGCTTGAAAGAAATCTTGATCTTGTCCTGAGCGTCCTCGCGGACGCTGAGGAGAAGAAAACAACCGACCAACTTGTCAAGAAATGGTTGGACAGGCTCAAAGAAGCTGCGTATGACATGGAGGATGCATTGGATGAGTGGAAAACTAGAGTAGAGCTGGAAGTGAAAGGAGCCGAAATTGCTGCTAATCGTCAGGGGAAGGTACCGCTACTCTGCAATTTCCTTTCATGCTTTTCTTTTCGTCGGCTAAGTAGTCGTCATGAAGTTGCTGTGAACATAAAGGAAATCAATAGAAGAATAGATGAGATCGTAAAGGAGAAAGATAAGTATCAATTGGAAAGTAGGAAGAATATTGAACTTCCAAAACGTCCAGAAAGTTCATCTTTTGTTGATGTGTCAAAACTATGTGGTCGGGATGGAGTGAAGAGAGAAATATTGAGTTATTTGTTGGGAGGGAATAGTGAAGTGGAGGCTGGGAAACTAATTCAAACCATCTCTATAGTGGGGATGGGTGGGCTGGGAAAGACAACTCTGGCACAACTGGTATGCAATCACCCTGATGTTAAACAACATTTTGAGAGTGTAGTATGGGTTTGTGTTTCTGATTCTTTTGATGAGAAAAGAGTTGCAAAAGCAATCATTCAAGGGCTTGAAAACCTTAGTGGTAGCGCAGCATATGGCCTAGAATCAGATCCATTGGAGGTTCTTTTA